ACAACCTCAATTTGGAAGTGGGAAGAGTCTAGATGAACTTCTCTATGCCGCGGTTCAGTGATAGAGGGGGCCCAATCAGTTACAACTCGTTCTCGGTTGACGCCAAGACGAGCGTAGTTAATGCCGACGTTGGTCTCGTCCCGCTCTGAAAAAGAAAAGGGGAAATGTCAGTTCAGTTAGGTTGGCACAGCATAAAAAAGCGAAGTGAGAGGAGAAAAAGAGATAATTAAAAAGCCTCGACCCCAGCCGAAGAAGCTTACCATCCTTAAACTTTCGGCTGAGGCCGACAGCTGCTAGCATGTTCTCTTGGAAAACATAATGCGTATCGGGGAGCCAAGTCTCCGGGATATGCTGCATTCGGCCGCTGCCCCCTCGGTTCGGCAGCTTGCCGAAGATATTCTGTTGATTAAGGTTTGGATCAAGGCCGTTATCTGCGGGGGGACCTAAACTTCCCATGTCGGGATCAGGCTCAGCAAGGTACCGGGGAGCGCTGAAGACGCAAGGGTGGCCCGGGTCCGTGGGTGCCCTAACCCAAATCCATTGACCTCTCCAGTCCTTGTCTGAAGAGTCGTTCGGCCACATGGTTAGGTACTGGGGCCGAGACTCAATTCGGTACCACCCAGAACCATGGCTTTCGTGCCCACTTTGAATATTTGGCACTAGCCGATGAAGCTTTTTGAAGCAGTGCAGTTTCGGCACATACCCGAAGAACTTGCAGACCCATAAGTATGTCATCACCCTTCGGATGCTAGTAGGAGTTAGCTGACATAGGGAAATATTGTAATGGATCAGCAAGTCTCGGACGAATACGTCCAAAGGGAACCTCAGCCCATACTGAAGTTGTCTTGTGTACACCCCCACATACCCCGGGGGTGGACGATGGATTCTATCGGATGCCATGGGCATTCGGCACCAATACCCATCAGCTTCAAGGATGCCGTAATGAAACTCAATTTGTTTGGCAAACCGATACTGTTCGGCATTCTCCACCCACCATGAGTAGGGGCGGTTCTTTATCATGGCCGAAGCTACTTCGGCATCCTCCCACTCTGAAAACCTGGGAAGGATATCCCAAAGGACAGCGGGAACTTCATCGTCCCGCCCAGAAGCGCTCGGCCCCTCCGTTCTCTGGGGAGGAGCCGAGGAAATTGGAGTCGCCCTAATCCCTTCAGCAGGGTCAGACTCTGCTCTTTGTCCATTCCAGGTCCCAATCCTGTTCTTGGGATCGGGAATTGGCCTTGCTCTTCTTGGAGCACGGGCTCTACCCCTAACTCCTCTCGCCATTGATAATTTCGAAGAAAAAAGTCGAAAAAAAGGGAAGGAGTTCAAATTCGAAGAAAAATAAACTAAAATCAAAGGAATTTACCTTAATCTGAAGCGAAAGTTGCCGATTTACGAATTGGTAGTGGCGAGTCTCAGTTTCTAAGCTTAATGCTCGGGGAATTTGCGAAGTTTTGATGCGGGTTCTTGGGTTCTCTCGAGAATTCTGGGTTTGTGTTGGTGAATAAGTGAGGAGAGATGACGCGCCTCTAATTATATCTCCAGAAATGGGAATACGGGGAGTCCGCGTTTCAATTTCTCTTAAATACCGCACTAAGTAACCGTTAAACACACGACCTTGCGATTAAACTGCCCATTATCCGTCCAACTTCCACAATTATCCGCTTTAACTGTTGTTATCTCATTAATTACGGTTTAATTACGGTTTAAATTCAAAATTTTGGATTAATTAAATCATTCACTTCCCTCCTTTTCTGATTAAATCAAACCCGACCCGTCATCCTTCCAAATCGGGTCTGGGGGGCAAGTTGTTTGGGTCCAATTTAGTCCAATTGGGCTTAGGCATTAAATGATCCAATTAAAAGCCCAAGGTCAAGGTTCATCTCTCCAATTGTGCTAAAGTCAAAGATCAGTCCTCAAGGCAAGCCAATTGGGCTAAGGCCCAACTTCTCCATGTATGCAGAGGTATAAAAGCCATCAATATTACATTTGTACATTCATTCAAGCAAAGCCTCAAGCAATTAATTCTCTTGCATAGTGTTCTCTTTCTACGCACTATACTGACTTTAGCATCGGAGGGGCCTTCCTCGGCAACACCCCTGAGGCTAGTTTACGTGTGTTTACTGTGCAGGAAACCTTCGGCCCAACATTACTTGGATCGAATCTAGTCTTCTCCACTTCATCAGACCTTCAACAAGGTCCCATTGTTTTCACCCGAAACAGATTCTATTAATTATCAGTACTTTGATGTAATGTTGCAGACTAGCAGTTTAGTATGAGTTGTTTTTTTTTTGGTGAAATTTCTTGATAGCAAATAATCTGATAATTTGGGATAGATCACTATCTCGCAAGAGATGAAAGAAATAAGATGTAGTTTGCTTCTCTTTCAACAGAGAAAGCTTCAAAGGAGAACGATGAGTGAAATAAGTCATAGTCAGAGAGGTAGGAAATAGGAAATAACGAAACCTAACAATATGATAAAGCTGTGTTAATAACGAAACCCCACAATATGATAAAGCAGTCCCAAATTCTTGCGATAATTACGTATCGGTTATGCATGGGATCACAACTTTATTGCTTAACAAAATTTATGGTTATGCATTGGATCACAACTTTATTGCCATATATCTTTTTTGAGATTTTGTGCTTACATGTTCATTTTAGAATCAAGGAAATAATAATACTACTCTATCAGTATTTAACTTCAACAGTATCCCTCAAAAAAAAAGATATTGGTTTAGTTAGTTTAATAAATCTACTCAAAACTTACGCAATAATATTCAGCCATTAGTTAATTTAATAAATCTCATTTCCTTATCTCTTACTTTAAACCTCATTAGAATATGGCAATGGAAGTTGAAGATAGTGGGAATACTTCTCTGCCTACGCCAGCACTCGAGGTGTTAGAGGCGAACAACGAGCTGTCCCTTGTAGAGGGTAACACCTCTTTCTTCAATGGTGCCAACGCCATCGTTGGTTAGTTCTTTAGCTTTTGTTTCATCAATTTTTTCACTCATATAACATTGTCAAGTGCACTAATTAATACTCCCCCCGTCTCAGGAAATGGTGTTCTGTTAGTTCCCTACGCATTAGCCTCGGGAGGTTGGTTGAGCTTAATTCTGCTTTTCACCATATTCATTTTGGCTACCCTACACGGGCCTTCTAATAAAGAGGTGCATGGAGGCCGATCAAAGTATGAAACAATATTCAGACATAGGGGAGCATGCTTTTGGTAAAATTGGTAAAGTTGTGGTATCAATAGTCCTATATGCAGACCTCTATATGGCCACCACAGGTTGCCTAATCTTAGGAGGAGACAATCTACATAGTTTGTTCCCTAGGGTGGCAATTCATGCACTTGGGATATCAATCGATGGAAAATCAAGTTTCATAATAATCATCGCGGTAATTCTTCTCCCCATGGTGTTGTTGGACAACTTAAGTATTTTTGCGTATATCTCTGCTACTGGTTGTGTAGCTAGTCTTTTGGTACTTGGATCAATTTTATGGGTGGGAGCTTTAGACGGTGTTGGATTCCACCAAGCTCAAACTACAACTCTTCTCAATTGGAAGGGAATACCAACGGCTATTAGCTTATACATGTTCTGTTATACTGCACATCCCATTTTTCCTACTTTATACACCTCCATGCAAAAGAAGCATCATTTCTTTAAGGCCTTGTTGCTTTCCTTTGCCTTCTCCACCTTCATATATGTTTCGATGGCAATCTTAGGATACTTAATGTTTGGATCAAGAGTTGAGTCGCAAATAACATTGAACCTTCCAACACACAAAATAGGCTCGAAAATTGCTATTTATATCACTGTGATCACTCCTCTTGTAAAATACGCACTGTTATTGAAACCGGTGGTTATTACTACTGAAAGTTGGTTTCCGAGCAAATACATGAAGAATGTGGTCTTCAAGATTGTGGTTAGAGCAGTCTTGGTTGCTACGCAAGTTATTGTAGCCTTGGCTCTTCCATTCTTTGGATACCTTATGGCTCTTGCTGGAGCATTACTAGGTGCTACGGGTTCGCTTACAATTCCATGCTTATGTTACCTAAAGATTTCAAGTAATGCCAAGACTAACAAAAGATTAGTCGAGCGTATTTTTATTTGGGGAATTGTATGTTCTAGTATATTGATTCTAGTATCTGGTACATACACCTCCTTGATAAATATAGTACATGAAATCATGCATAAATAGGTAATTACTTCGTCTAGTTTATGTTGTAAACATTTTCATTTATGATAAGCCAAATAATTCAAGTCCGGCGACAAATATTTGTTATTGTAATATTTGTAGAAAGTAATATATAGCGAGCATTTTTATATTAAATCAAAGTACTAACATACATTGTTATAATACACAATTTTAAATCAATTTCTAGAAATTTTTTTCAAAATTAAAGTGGATATAGGAGTCTTCCTACATAAAAGTTGTTTTGGAACAATAATAGATCTAATAATAAGTCTTTAAAATCTTGATAATGAGTTTAATTTTAGTCGTCAATGATGAAATGGCTAGTTCGAAAATCAGTAGTAAACTAGTAATGTGTTTCAATAGGTGTAAGACATTATTCTAACTACAAACTAGAAATCCCAATTAAGGTCCTATTAAGGTTGAAAATCCTTCAAATGAGTTATCAGTTTATCACACCGACCTTTGTTGATGTTCTTATAATGGTGTGACACCCATCATTATTATAAAGTTGATGTTAATATTTGATCACAAAGAGTAGCGTCTTAACTCATCTTAGGGCACTTTCATCGTAGTGTTACACCCATCACCGTTGATATATTTAAGTTGTGTAGAAAGTGGCTTCAATTATGACATTTATGAGTCTCGTTAAAAAATTAATTATCGTAGTGTTACACCCATGATTGTTGATGTTGTTTCCGATAATGGATGAATTTAAACTATTTTTTTATGTTAATTACATAATTAGGGTGCAATAGTATCCAAAAGGACAAGCACTAACACTCATACCAATCTAAGTCACCTAAAAGGAGAAAAATGATTTATTTTGTGTATAAACCCCTAAAGTAAAGTGACAAAAAAGAAGGAAGATTTACACTCGAATTTAGACGAATTATTGTTACACTCCATTGCTTAAGCCGGCTTAAGGTAATTTCTGTTTTCTAGCAAATGTCTGTAATTTGATTGAATATTTACTATGGCTTATCACTTGATTGTAAGTTCTAGTATTTGATGATGATAATAACGATGATGTTAGGAACAAAGTTCAGTCTTTTCTTGAAAAGTTTGCCTCCCACCTCAATTCATCATCCTCTTGTTTCTTTTTCTCCTTTACCCATCTTTTCTTTCTCAACCTAACATCAATTTTGTTCATCAGGTCTTCTATCTGTCTTCAATTTCACTTTGATTGTTAATTTTGATCTGGGTACTTGTAATTTGTTCCTAATTGAATTGGGTATGTGTAAAATTTCATGATTTCATGATTTAATCTTTTAATATTATTTTTAATGTTTATTTGGTTGTAGAACGAAGAAAGCTAAGATTGCAAGTGAGAAATTGTGTTCCTAGCATTGGGCAACAGTTTATCATGGCGTTGGAGAGCAAGGAAGAAGATTCATGTGAAGTGAATAGGAATCTGTATCCTCCAATTGAGACTTATAGTTCTGGGTTCTTCAAGGTTTCAGATATTCACACCATTTATTGGGAGCAATCTGGGAATCCAAATGGGCATGTGAGTTGATAATTATTGATGTTAATTAGTTGATAATCTGCTCATTTTGGTGTTTAATTATGCAATTTTAAGGGTAAAGGTTGCTGCTTTATGTTGCTTCTTAATGTGCATTTTACTATTAGTGAATGTAGTGGTGTTTTTGGTCCTTGTGCAGTGTTTTTGGGAAGTATATGTTAGTATCCGTCTATCCGAGGGTGATCAATCTCACACACATGAACAATAATACTGCTCCAATCCATTATTTGGAAATTGATGGTAGCAAACTAACCATACTTGATGCTTTTTTTTTTTTTTGACACAACCATACTTAATGCTATTTGAACCATGATTCAACTTAGGCTTAGACAGTTGCCAGTGAATAGATTTTCATTTCAGAAAGAATTCTGAAGAATTGAGTGAAGTTATCTTAGGAGGTTGGTGGGGATTATTCTTCTGATAGATTGAGCTTAAACTATTTACATGCCACATTACTATATGAATTTATTTGTAAGAAATGAGGAAAATTGAGAATTGTAATCTGATTTTTTCCTATATCAAATATTCAAATGTATTAAAAGAAGATGAACAATGGACATGAGATCATATAAAATTTTGTTTAATTAATGTGACTACATCAAAAATCCAGATTTGCAAGAGAGCGATGCTATAGAATTCAAGTTAATAGGTATCAGTGGCTGGTCTGATGGGTGGAAAACTGGAAACTTTTGGAAGATACTTAAATTAGGGAGTACTTTTTCTTGTTATATAATGTTGTTTGGAACCATAGATGACCACTAATCGGTCATATAAAGGTTAATTGGTGGCATTGAGTTAATTAAGGGAGGCGAGAGCGTAAGTGGCTAAAATGATGGTTTGAAGGGAAAGTGAATGGTTCTAACCACCTAAATGGCCTCCGAGGTGTCGTGGGGTCTATAGGAAGAACCCCAATCACTTTTTTTTTCAGGGTCCGAAAAAGTTCAAAATTGTCAAAAAAAATGAAGACTATAATACACGAAATCGGACCTATTTTTAGAGGTTTTGGGACCAGTGTCGAAAAATCTCTGAATTGTAGGGGATGCAATTCGGGGTCATATAATATTATTTGGAACCATATATGACCACTAGTCGGTAATATAAAGGTATGTGGTGGCCTTGAGTTAATTAAGGAAGGAGAGCACGTAAATGGCTAAAATGACGGTTTGAAGGTAAAGTGAATGATACCAACCACCTAAATGGCCTCCCGAGGTGTCGTGGGCCCATAGGAAGAACCCCAACCTTTTTTTTCCCCGAGTCCGAAAAAGTCCAAAATTGTAAAAAAAAAAAAAAAATGAAGACTATAATACACGAAATCAGACCAATTTTAGAGGTTTTTGGACCGGTGTCGAAAAAACTCTGAAGTGTAGGGGAAGCAACTCGGGGTCATATAATATTATTTGGAACCATAGATGACCACTAGTCGGTCATATAAAGGTCTGTGGTGGCCTTGAGTTAATTAAGGGAGGCGAGCGCGTAAATGGTTAAAACGACGGTTTGAAGGTAAAGTGAATGGTTCCAACCACCTAAATGGTCACCCGAGGTGTCGTGGGAAGAACCCCAACCACTTTTTTTTTCCGGGTCCGAAAAAGTCCAAAATTGTAAAAAAATAAAGACTTTAATACACGATATCGGACCAATTTTGGAGGTTTTGGGACTGGTGTCCAAAAATCTCTAAATTGTATGGGATGCAACTTGAGGTCATATAATATTATTTGGAACCATGTATGACTACTATTCGGTCATATATAGTTCCGTGGTGGACTTGCATTAATGAAAGGGGCGTAAGTTATAACCGAGTAAATTGACATTTTAAAAGGAAAATGGACGGTTCCAACCACCCAAATGGACACTCGGGGTGTCTTAGGGTTTATGGGAAGCACCTCGACATGTTTCCTTCCTGGTACCAAAAAAGTAAAAATTATCCAAAACTGAAGGTATAATCCACGTTTTTGGCCAATTTTGGAAAATTTTCTGAAATTGAAGTGGATGGATGGGGTATCCTCCGAGGTCATATAAGTTGGTTTGGAATCATAAGAGGCCTGTCAATAGGTCTATAAAGTCCCAAGAATGAGTTAAATTTAGTTATGTGGCTATTTTGGAAATTTGTTGCATTGGTAGTAAAAAGCTGTAAGAGGTTATTTATATAACCAACTTGGCATCCCATGGTCCTATTAAGGTCTATGAAACCCTTTATGTATATATGTTGAGGGTTCAGCTTCAATATGTGCAATCTCAGAATCTATCTTGTCATAATATTCTCCAGTTTATAAGAATATGATGGTGAAGGATACATGTTTATACAGCAAGCACAACAAATTCTTTAGAAGAGCTTTTTGGATTTGCTTAACATCAGTTGATGGAATCCAGTTCATGCTTAACTTTAGTTCTTGCATCCATCAAATTTTGAACCTCTTCTTGCAGCCAGTTGTCTTTCTTCATGGTGGTCCAGGTGGTGGAACTTCTCCAAGTAATAGAAAGTTCTTTGATCCCGAATTTTACAGAATTATCCTCTTTGATCAGGTTAGCAGCTAAATTTTGATTTGAGATACTGAATATATTATGCCTTTAGAAGTATTCTGGTAAGTATGGCCATTTTTTATATCTTTGCAGAGAGGTGCTGGCAAGAGCACACCTCATGCTTGTTTGGAGGAAAATACAACATGGGATCTCATAGCAGACATAGAAAAGCTTCGAGAGCACTTGGAAGTTCCTGAATGGCAGGTTGGTTTACTTATTTGGTTGAATTTTGCCTTTTCTTGGTCTAAATATGTATGGTTGTATTTTTCCATTGTGCAGGTCTTTGGTGGTTCATGGGGAAGTACTCTGGCTCTTGCATACAGTCAGTCTCATCCCGACAAGGTTTCCTTGACACCCACTTTCCAGTTGTAGTGAGCCCAACTCTTTAGTGAGCTTAGAATTTACCCATTATTATTGAGATAAATCATCTGATCTTATGTCAGGTCACTGGCCTGGTCCTTAGAGGGATCTTTCTCTTGCGCAAAAAAGAGATTGATTGGTTCTATGAAGGGGGTGCTGCTACTATATTTCCTGATGGTATGTTCCTTTGATTTTCATTAACTATCTGAAGATTACACATGTTCTTATTTGAGGCTTATCTTGACCCTTAACCTTACTGGTTTTTGCTGATTTATTGGTCCATAATACTCGCTGATGTTACTGCAATTCCTGTTTTATACATCTTGCGTTATTTGTTGTTTGGTTGGACCTTTTGGAATGGGTTGCAGTGATGTTAGAATCCATTCCATCCATTGTATTGTTTGGCTAGCCTTTTTAACTACGATATCTCATACCAAGACCCCTCCCCCTTGGAATCCCATACCCATCTCACCCCTAAGATTCACAATCCATTCCATTAATGAAATGTAGAATCTATTTCAACAAACCAAACAACTTCAAACTAGTATGGGATTTAGAAGCCATACCTCCGTGGTATGAGATTGCATATCAATCCATTCCAGTTTCATGAACCATACAGCCCCTAGAGAGTATAATAATCCCAATATTAATGGGTACCTATGTACTTCAAGAACAAAAAGATGGACTAATTATTAGAGTATAATTCAGAATTTGATTGCTATTTGATGCTGTAAAGAGGGAGTAGAATATGACCGTCTCAAATCTCTTGATTGCTGAATATTCTGTCAGCTTTTTTCTTGATACTTTGGTGTATTTTTGTTATTGGAAATTGTCGTGTCATCTTTTTTTGTGGGTATTTAATGGGTTTCAAACTAATCTTCCGTTTGTAATGTGATTCATTATAGAGCCAGAAATTTGTGATTTTTAACATACATCTTGATGCATGCATAGTTTCATTTTCCAGGATCATTGTTTCTGCTGATAGCTTTATTTATTTATTTTTATTTTTAATTTAATTTTATTTTTTTAACATATTTCTTGCATCATATGTTAATGTCATTTTCTTGGGTACTTCAAATTGTTAAATGTTAGCTCACTCCTTAATATGCAGCTTGGGAACAATTCAGAGATCTTGTTCCTGAAAGTGAAAGGGGATGTTTTGTTGATGCTTACCACAAGAGGTTAAATTCAGATGATAAGGAAACACAGGTAAGCTTCGCTTGTGTTGATATGTGGTCCTATTGGTAGTAACTTGCTATGGGCCTTTTTGTTTTGTTTATTTAATTTAATTAATTTTATAATATAATGCATTATTAAGATAAGTTGTATTAACTTGGGGAAAAAATTGAGGGTGAAAAGTTCTTCTTGAACATATCTCCATGGTGGAAGTCTGTGGGACTGAATAATTTGTCCTACTTTTATTGGTATTATGTTTTTGGGCCTTCCCGAAGTTTTATATACACAGTAAAAAATGGCAGGCAAACAATTTATTCTCCTGTAGCTTGTGGATATCTTTTATCTAAAGCAATATGTATTTGATTTATGAAGCTGGCTGCTGCAAAAGCATGGACCACATGGGAGATGATGACAGCCCATCTTATTCCTAATGAAGATAACATCAAGCGAGGGGATGATGATGATTTTTCACTGGTAAGTTTGTGATGGTCGTACTTAAAAGCTTTAGTGTATTAGCTGTTGTTTGAAAGCATGTCAACTTATACTAGCTTTCCTTTTTGTACATTTGGGGTTGAGGAAGACGTCTTTTACTGATGTCTGTATTCCTCAAGGGAAAATTGTGAATATGTATATCCTTTGGGCTTTGGAAAGCAACTGTTTTGCATTGTGTGGCATAACTATTCTAATTGGTGTTCTTTTTTCAGCCATTTGCTCGTGTAGAAAACCATTATTTTAAGAATAAAGGTTTCCTTCCTTCTGATTCATTCCTGCTTGATAACATTGACAAAATAAGGCACATCAATTGTACTATTGTGCAGGTACACATTCTCCCGTCTTTAGGCTTAATTCTATTCGACTTATTTTGTTTTAAACTCGTATTATCTAAACTTATATTATTTGAACTTAATTTTGCTATAGCAAAACTTATTTGTGAGCATGTCAGCACCTTTTTTTGTCCGAACTTATTTGAACCAGTTATGTCTGAAATAAGTCAAAATAAGTTGAAAAAATGGGCAGAGTTAGGGGTGAAAGTTCGGTTTGCGGTGTGGTTTATAGTCCAAATCAAAACCAAACCACATTAATTCGGTTTTGGGATATTTCAAACCACACCGCACCATATTACTATTGAAACTGAACCAAACCACACCGTTTTAAATTCGGTTTTTCAAAAGAAAACCGAACCACATCGAAATTTTTCATCCTCTTCCTTTTTGCTCTATCTAACTGGTCATTCACTCCAACATCGCCCACATTGATTGACATTCTAGGACATAAAAAAAACACAAGTTTTATCATTTTTTGACTTTATATATGTAGGGTATAAATTAGTATTGGGCTAGGCTATAATTTGGATATGGGCCATAATTCGGTTTGGATTTCGGTTTTTGGTTTTTGAAATCTTAAAACCGAAACCAAACCATATTAATTCGGTTTTGGGATTCCTCAAACCACACCGAATCATATTAGAAAAAAAAAAAAAAAAAAACCGCATCACATTTCTAAATCGGTTTGGTTTGCGGTTTGGTTTGGTTTTAAACCGCATTAGTTTCACCCCTAAGCAGTGTTACTTATACCAGTAAACAAATACAACCTTCTTCTGAATAGAAGTGTATTTCACATAGATTAATGCATTAAAGAAGAAATAATTAAGAGAAATGGAAGACCTTCGGTAATTGTATGATCATGAAATTGATGTTATGCAATTGCTGTTTTTACAGGGTAGATATGATGTCATTTGCCCAATGATGTCAGCTTGGGATCTCCACAAAGCTTGGCCAGAAGCTGACTTCAAGGTAATGCACATGTGTGCTCGTTTTCATAATGTTCTGTAGTCATGTGTGCCTGTCATTATTCTGCCGCTGCAGTCTAAGGAATTATATGATAGCCAGTGAAATCTTATAGAGTTATAGGTCCGCCTGCCCACAGTCAAGAAGGTTCCAGCATTGCTCTGTGTTAGTCTTCTGTATATCAAACTGGGACTGTTGATTTTAGCTCCCTATAAAAGATTCATGATTCATCTCTGTTCTATAATTTATTTTTAATTTTTAATTTTTATTTTTTTTCCCTGAGGAATCTGTTCTATAAAATTTCACCCCTTGTTAAATTGAACTTTTTCTTAAGAAACAAATCTGTGTTTTTATCTCACTTTGCTTTATCAAAGTTGTTGAATTTGTATGCTTCCGGACACTCAAGAATTTAGCAATTTTTTAAGATCTATTTATTTAGGTGGAACTTAAGGGTCAGTATGATTTTTCTGTATACCATATGCCGGTAGTTGTTTTGGCATCTTCCTTGTTCATGACTCATATTCATGATACTGTCTGTAGCCAATTAAGAGTTTGCATATGTTAAGTCCATATTTTGCAGTCAGAGACGTGGTAAGATTTGATTACAAGATCCATATTTACTAACTCTTTTATATCCCTTGTTTGTAATGTTAAATAGTTTGTAAATTTTAAAGACAAGCATCTATTTTTGTGTCATCAATATGCCTTTTCAATGAGATCTTTTGATGACTGATTCCTGTTACTTTGGACGACAGTCTGACTTGTATAATCATAAAGCTTTTAATTGTGGCAGGTGGTCCTTAATGCGGGTCATTCAGCCAATGAACCCGGAATATCTGCCGAACTTGTTGCTGCAAATGAGAGGCTAAAAAGGCATTATCAAGGCAAATAGGGTAATTATCACTAAGCAAGGAATAAACTTATTAGAGTTCTAGGATTTTTGCGCAACACTTTCAATGATATGTGCAAGATATTTATCGTTCACATCTCAATAGTTGAGAGTCCTTGAGACAATTGGTAATTTTTATAATCGTATTCTATGATTAAGTTGCTAACTAGTTCCGAGGACTTTGTTCATATAGAAATTACAGCAACTCCTTCATCCTTTGTTTACAGCCACTTTCCTTCAATTCAATACAATCAACCAAAAAAACTTAATCAACCACATGAGAAGAGCAAAAGGGAAAATGGTTATACAACACTTACTTTCCATAAAAACCAAGAAGACACACTCTTTTATGTAAAATTGTAAATTACTAGCACACACTTTGTTTTTAATACAATTAAGATATATTCAATGAATTAATTGAACCAAATCACCAAAAAGAAAAGGAATTGTTCACTCTAAAAACTTAACAAAAAGAATTCACTCTAATTATGTCAATTGTTCAAATCCTCATTTGTTTCTTGTGCAGCTTTTTGGTTTATGCAAACTGTGAAAATTTGGCTCTCTTGGGATAGTTGCTGGCCTTTTCCCCTTTTTTGCTGATTTCTGAGCTTCAGAAGCTTTTTGTTGGATCAACAGCCTCCTTTCCCTGTTTTCTTGATTCCTTTGGTCTCGACATAGTTTTAGATTTTTCAATTGCACTGCGTCCCTGAGGTTTCACATGAGAATCGATTTCCCTGCAGGAAAATTACAGTCAGATTCTTACTATCGTGCTGCATTATAAAACACTTGACTGGGAAATGTTAAAGAATTGTGAGTTCTGCTCTCACCTCTGAGGCCCAATAACATGTTTCTGCAGGAAAGCAGATTTGGCAATTCCAGAGCTCTTCTCCGACTTCAACTCTACTCCCTTTAATGTCTTGTATCTGCTCTTGATTGGTTTCTGAAGGGCCAATTTAAAGAAAACTCTTATCAGAAATAATGTCTGCGAAAATAACCTCTTGAAAAAACACCAGAAAACCCGCTATTCAATAGCAATGAAGGATTAGACTTACAAGTTTGTCGTCATCTTTTTTGCCTCCTTTGTCTTTGTTGTCAGATGCTCCCTAATGATGGGAAGAAGTGTTAGCGCCAACCCATACTGTGTAATGAGCAAATTCAATGTGCGTTAACTAACACGAGTGGAAACATTTACCTGTGAGTTTTCACTTGTAGTTGATGAAATTTCTGGGAATTAACTTTTCTCTCTAGGGTTGCCTCTTTCAGAATTCCTCTTTCCTGTACAGGCAAGCGATAATGAATAATCAAAATGGTCAACGGGAAAAATTTAAATAAATGAAATTTTGTGAATTGTTTAGTTCTCACATCAGTTCTTAGCCTAAAAGGCTTAGGGTTTGTTGGCTTGAGTTTCTTGTTCTTTAATCCCTGTGTACCACCAGTTCCTGCAGGACAGTTTTCTTTCGAATTTTTGTCCAGTTTTTGAGGGTTTTGCTTTGTTTTGACCTATAATCATGAGCAACAATTTATGTTAGAGATCAACACACATATTATTCATGATACAATGGAAAAGTTATTGGGTTTGGAAAAGTGATGATCACCTTGGGTTTTACAGGTGCATCGTGCTTACTGAGATAGTTGCTGTTCAAGCTCCTGGAATTTTCGTCACAAAAATGGCTGAAGATTTAAGTGATAGAAACCATTGTATCTCTATAAGTGGATTGACAAATGACTAAACCATGATGGTAACACAAACCTGATATCAGCAGAAGTCAAAGCATTCTCTTTGTCATCGTTGTCCTCGAGTTTACTGACTACTCCTGGATTCTGATTTTCAAGATCATCTGTAATTGTATTGTCCTTCTCTTGGCTTTGTTCATCTGCATTCGGAGCTTGAATTGCCTCAGTATTCTCTTCTGCTGAATCTTTGTCATCTGAAACTGGACCTGAATGCATATCAGTATTCTGAGTGTTCAAAGATACTGCCCCTGAACTTTCACCTGTCATAGGCCTATCCGATGTTGAGCTGCTATGATCTTCAGCCTTCGGCTTTACTGTTGCTGATCCCAAGTCCAAAGAACCACATCTCGACTTCTCATCGATTTCCATATCACTAGATTCATTTCCACCCTTTTCAACTTTTTGTTGAGCAGCATCAGCATGCTTCCTCTTATTCGCCTTGGCCTTGCTCTGGACACTTATTGGGAATTTGGAATCAACCTCCCGTGTCTTCGCCTTGGAGGAACCCAGTACCTTTCTCGAACGATCCAAGGGCAACTTCTTTTCACTCGTACAATCCTTGGACGGTTTACGAGTAGCATTACCCTTCTTTTGGCTATTAATCTCAAGCTTCTTCACCCCTGCACACAACTTATTTATAGGGGTATCCAGCTCTTCCGACGCCTTCTTCTTTAGAGCTTTCTTAGGTGAGTTGAACACCAAAGCCTTAGAAACAACCTTACTCTTTGGTAACGAAATGCTCGTTTTCATTGGGTTTCGTACACTTCGGAAGGCATTAGGCTTAGGAGAACTCCCCTTTTTCATCCTAGGAGAAGTCATATACTTAGCAGCAACATTCTTCACCCTAGTTTTAGGAGTTGAAGCAGGCTTTACATTTGCAACAACCGCCTTTGTCTTTCCTTTTTCTTCAGTAATAAGCCTTTCAGAGATTGAACAAGAAACTAATCCTAATCTTTGCAGCCTGGATTTCGAAGACTTGGGAGGCGCCGAAAACGGGCATTTCTTACTTTCACTAAAGACAACACGGGAAAAATGTTGCTTAATACAGAATTCCATTTGCTATGTTCATAATGAAAATGAAATCTATCAAGATATTTATTCAATTTCGCAAACATGTTCATATGTAGGATACCTTGGAGGCCTTCGACTCAAGGCTCGTCGAAATCGTACATTAGGACTCCTTGCAGCCATTACCTACAAAGATTCAATGATGCTAACTAAGCTAATATCACCACCAAAAAAAAAAAGCCTCAAGCATCAAGATTTCGGCATAGAAATCAAACCCGAAGCACGAAATTCTTGTAAATGGCTTCGGAATCCATCTCCTGCATATGCTGTTGGTCACACCCTGGAGCACAAATACATATACATAGGCTCATCAAACGTTTGAAGACCTCAAATTTACATTCACATTCAATCATAACACTGTGCATAAAACTATAATGTATACTCCAATCGAATAAATCACTAAAATCAGCTCATATTCATAAATAAATCACTATAATGGCATTGAGGAAAAGGAGGAGAACAAACCAACTCTAGAACAGAACCAAAAGCAATCATCAGGGGAGAAGTGATTCGGAAGTGTGAAATCGACAAACTTCGGAGCTTCGATTTCTTCATAAAACTCTTCTATCTCAGCTTGTAATCCTTCTCTTTCCATGGATGATGTCAGCTGAAATTTCTCTCCCATTTTTTTTGTTTATTAGCTTATCAATTAATCTCAACAAACTCTAAGAAAATATTAGTTTTCGAGCGAAACGCGTTTAATCGGATAAGGAACAAGGGATTAAGGAGAGAGAAAGCAAGAGAATAGTGTAAGATTAGAAAGAAGAATGTAATGTTTTGAACAAACAATAATCCTGAAGAAAAGAAGAACAACAGATCTGACTGCTGGAAAACTAGCCGTTAAGAGCAGCTTATCATTTACTCAAACCTTTTTTTTTTTCTTTTTCTTTTTTTTGTCTTTATAAGGGGTATTTTCGGTATTTCATAAAATTTAAAAGTCTCAATGTTAATGTTTCTGGGCTGTACAGCAGAATGGATGGACTTCTTCAACATAATATTGGGCCCTGTCATTTTATATTATCTTATTGGGCTTCTGGTAATACGGAATTTTTTTCTCTGGCATAGTACAGGTTTAAAATTATGTAGCAAAAGATAAGCATAATTTATTTATTTACTTCGTATTATTCTTGGTCTGATATTGGATTTTTTTTTCCCTCTTATTCTTAAGTTTATATATCTAAATTAATTAACCTAAAACTATATTTATGCATGATTAGAATTGCGATACGATGTAGTACTAGTATAGTCGTACACGACACATACTATACATTTTTTTTAGATAAATTGTTTATGTATTGAGAAATTTGGTTTAATGTTCCCTTTTTTACTTTATCCATGAAAACGGGTTCGGGTTTGGATGTAAATTCCATACTGCACGCTTTCTATCCTAAAGAATGGTCTTTCTTGTTTTTTAACCGACTTATCATAATTCTTGAGCAGAGGTTTATCTAAAAACTATTGATAAATCTTGGAGAAGTATGAAACTCCACAACCCTAACAATACCTATAAATTACAAGCTCCTACAATCTTTATTTATACAAAAACGTAACAATTTCTTTTATTCTTGTTTTTAGATTGAGCAATCTTTTTTATATTTTTGATTAATTAGAGAGAGTTAAAGAAAATGTGTGAGGTATTATCTATTGATAATATTATTATTAATGATAATAATAACAACGAACCATGCCAACATGCTGCATTCATCAATAACACATGTGCATTTTGCAAACGGCTCAAGAAAGATTGCAACAATCCCATTACTATACCGTTTCGTTACATCGATCCCAATTTCTCTCTCACCGTGGAGGCGATTCAACACCTACGAGGTTGTAACTTTGAAACGTTACTAAACCGCAAGAAGCTACACTTAGTACTTGACTTGGATAACACATTGATACATTCGATAAAGACCTTATCAAAAAGATTTACCCTAGAGGATAGGGAAAAGATCAAAACATCCTATGAAGATGTGTACGAGATTTGTGATGGTACGAGGTTGGTTAAGTTAAGGCCGGGTGCTCGTGATTTCCTTGTACAAGCTAGCACTATGTTCGAGTTATCCATCTACACTTTGGCAAAAGAATCATACGCTAAAGAAGTGGCTAAAATGCTTAGATCGAATGTGTGCCAAAAAAGGGTTAAGTTTGAAAATGTGATTTCTAAGGAGGATTGTACAAGTTGTTGTCCTAAGCAAAGACGGAAGGGGCTTGATGTTTTGTTGTCTGACGAACGGGTGGTTTTGATTGTGGATGATTTAGAAGAGGTTTGGAGTAATGAACATAAGAAAAATCTAATAAAAATTAAGCCATATAAGTTTTTCAAGAGAAAAAGTCCTTGGTTTGAAGCTTTCTTAGAAAATGACCAAGAACTTTCTCGGGTTTTGGGTGTTCTAAAGAAGGTTCATAATGTATTTTATGAAAAGGAAGAAAGAAATTATGATGGTAAAGATGTGAGGGAAGTGCTTGAAGAATCAAGATTCAGTCTTTAGTTGAAGAATTTTTTTACGTGCGGTGGTTTGGAAAGAGTAATAAAGTTTTATTTTAATGAGAAAAAGATTATATGTGGTTGAACCAAGGTTTTGCAAATGTATTTGATTGTAATTTTCTTAATGTAATTTTAGATATGGTGTATTAAACTCATTGAGCTCACAAGTCACAAGAATACTATGACGTCTACGAGACTATGAGTATAGTGTATTAGTGTTTGCAATAGTAAAAAAAATTTGGGTTTTTCTAAGCTATGCCCCTGAGGAGATGGGTTTTCTAAGTTGTGCCCATGCTTTTTGAAAGTTTTAAGCCATGCCCCTGAACTGCTAATCTTTAATCAACTATACCCTTCCCCTAATCCCTCCGTTAACTTTCTGTGAAAAAATCTGTTAACTTTAATTATTTTTTTTTTAAAAAAAAAAAACCAACCAAAAATCCTCTCTCTTCCCAACCCCTCCACCTCCTACCACCCACCAACACACCCCAGGCCACCCGCGGAACCCCACCTGCGAGCCGAACCCCACCAGTGACCCCTACCATCACCCATCATAGCCCCACCACCACCCATCGCAGCCCCACCACCACCCATTGCAGCCCCACCACCACCTAGTGCACCACCAAAGAAAGTGTTCGAATGCAATGGAGGAATTTAATTCGAATTGAAATTTCGACAAATTGGTTTAGGGATTTTGTTCATTGGATTCAAATTGCAAAATTAAGTTGTTAATTGTTGTTTTCGTTTTGAAATTAAAGAATTTGGTTCAAAACAATAGAAAACCCTAATTTTTCCCCCAATTTGATTTTAATTGTTAAATCATCAATTTTGGTTCAATTAGATTGAGATTAAATACACAAAACTTGTTTTAATTGATTTTTCCAATGAAAATCTGCACGAATATGGTTCAATTGGTTGAAATTGTTCGACGTTTGCCCAAAAATTTTAGGAAAATGTTCGAAAATCTGGCCACGAAGAATGGCGGTGGTGGTGCATCAAGTGGCTAGGTGTGGTAGTTGTTGGGGTACGAGGAGAGAGAGGGGGAGATTAGGGTTAAGGAGTTGAGAGAGAAGGAGAGAGGAGGGTGACGCGGTGGTGGGTCAAGGAGGGAGGAGCGAGGCGCGGTGGTGCGGCTGGAAGTGCAGTGGTGGGTAGTTGTGAGGGAGGAGAGAGAGGTGTTTGGGTGTTTTGGGGTTTTTTTTGTTTTTTTTTAAAAAAATTTATTTATTTTGAAGTTAACAGAAAGTTAACCTAAGTTAACGGAGGGATTAGGAGAGTTGTATAGCCGATTAAAGATTAGCAATTTAGGGGTATAGCTTAGAATTTTAAAAAAGAATGGACACAACTTGGAAAACCCAACTCCTCTAGACATAGCTTAAAAAAATCCAAAAAATTTCCTTTCAAAAATAATGGTACTACCTATGTCCCTAAAAGATATATTATGTTTCTACTTTTATTTGTCGCGAATTCCTAGTCAAACCATGATACTTTCTACATTTGGTTGATCAATCACTGAAAATTTAATTAAATTAATTTAATTTCCCCTACACTTTTGATTAATAAATTTAAAAGCAAGAATACTATAGAGGTAATTATGACACAATGGACTAATCTAGATACTTTTACATTTTTTGAGACCTACTTTTTAATTAAAAATTATCCAAATGGGCTTATAATATAATAATGAAAAGAAATGCAGTTTATAGCTAAATATTTGTACTAATTGTTTTATTTGATAATGTTTATCAACAAATCCGATGTCGTCCAGCGGTTAGGATATCTGGCTTTCACCCAGGAGACCCGGGTTCGATTCCCGGCATCGGAACTTTTTTGCCTATCCCTTGACAAGTGCATTTAAAGTCTGTACGACTGTACTTTACACAAAATAACATTTCGAAGTTTTTTTGTCTTTTCAATGCTAGGAGTTAAAACGGTAAAAAACAAATGAAAATATACTCCCTCTGTCCCTTAATTTTTTGCCCCATTGCAAAAATATGGGTCAAATTTTTAATATTTTGACCATGAATTCTCATTAACTTATAAGTGATAATATATTCATGTGGATCTTGTTAGAATCATCTCATTGTATAGTTTATTAATATCAAATTTTTATAATTTCTACGCGTATAAAAATGAAGATATATACGTTTGAAGACGTGTCTTGGAGACCGTGAAAAGTCAAATAGGGCAAAAAATAAGGGACAGATGGAGTAACATTTTTTGCACTGATTTACGCAGTTATAAATTTCGAAATTAATAGCACCAAATTAGGAAAAATATTACGGAGTAAATGCTTTAAAATTATTTGATCTTTTGTAAGTAAAGATGTTTCGACCTTAACTAGAATATAAGCTTTTAGTACAGAGTATAAGTATTGGGTTTTTCTACGTAATAATAATTCAGATTGTCTTTTGTTAAGAAATGATTATTACTCCATATTATTGAATTCCAACAATAATCTTCGAATATGTATATTACGTTGTATGTTAAATGTCTGATGGCTATGTTACAACAAATAATTTTTTCTTAATCAAAAAATTAATGTGCAGTAATCATCCCAACAAATAACAAATCAAAATGGTTAGTTGACTTGATCTTGAAGCTGCTAATTAGTAATTAAAAACAAGTTAACACTAATAAACAATTGTTTAATTACAAGATTCGGAAGTTAGCCATCTAATTAATTAATAAATAATGCTTGAGCAGCAAGTTGCATGACATTGAGCACAACGTCTGCAGCTCATAAGCTGAGAAATACAGATATGATAACCAGGCCATGTGATGCTCCAGTTATGGCACACACGCATTATGTATACTGTTAAACTTTATATTATATTTATACTCCCTAATCTACTTATAATTAAATTAGGAGAAAGAAAATATATAATATGATATTAATTAATATGTTACTTTTAATCTTTTATGATTATGAAAGATGCATATATAAATAATTGTTGTAGTACATCCTGTGCAACACATGCTTTACAACTTTTAGCAGTAGAATGAATTTATGGTCAATAAGAAGAAATTGTGTAAGGTCTTAGCTTTATCAAGCTAAGCAACTTCGCTTGGACTAGGGATGGTAATGGGGCCGCGGATCAGCACTTAAGAGTCCTATCTATCCGTAGGCTAAATTCCGTGATAGAGTAGGAGTTTAGGGAATTTGCAAAGACTAATTAACATGACACGACTTAATTAGGCACAATAGACACTTGTGATATGTTTTAAAACTAGCTTGATCATCTAAAAACACAAAAGCTAGACATTACAAATTAATAAAAAATCTTCGTTATCTGTTGATATAGAAAGAAATAGACGTTTATGGTAAAGATCATATCTATAGTGCAGTTATTAGGAAAAGTTATATCTTTACAAAATTTGTTAATTATCATGGTAATTAATTAAAAAAAAAGTAAAAATTATCTAATAATTTTTCTTTTGTTGTTTGCTAAATATATATAAATAATCTGACACTGGTTAATGTTCATATAAGAAGTTAAGAAGTGCATCAATATTAAAGAAAATCAATATTAATTAAATCAACGGTCTTGTAATTGTCCGAACCATGTCACATGCATCAAAATATAATTTTGGAAGAATACATTAAGAAGATTCCAAGAATAAGGTTGGCGCTTATATATGAAAATTATTAAATTAAATTAGATTAAGACGTTATATCAGTTTGGTTAAGGTTTTAAAAATAACAGAGTTATTAACAATATAGATTCTCCTTGGAATAAATCATGAAAATTTTGTATTATCTGATAGAATATGTACAAAAATATAATACAGCAAGTACTAAATTAAACAGTTTAGAGATAGTATGAAGCTTCGAATAATCAAGACCGAAAATTGGAAGAGAAAATTGAAATTATCATATCCTCTGTATAATTATAAAGATGTGAATGTATATCATTAATCTTGAAACATCCAAGGAAAAAAAAATCTAAAAAAATGTGTAAGAAATCGAATTATTACAACTAATTTGACTGTAAGATCGAAAAATGTCAAATTTGCGAGCATTTAACTCGATCAAGTCTCATGAACTATAAACTTGGTTACAAATGATACAATAAGTTGAGATAATTTTCCCAATAGCACCATCTTTTTCGATCTTCAAATTTTGAGTCATTTTATTCCAAAGATGAACACCATAAGACTCCCGAATAATCTTGTTGTACGTGTTTGTAACCCACTCTGAATCACTTCTTCCAGTGGAGTTTCGAAACAACTTGTAAATCTTGTACCAATCAACAGGATAAAATGCCATAGGAGACATCATATTGAATTGATACCGCGAATCATCAACTGTGCTTTTTATAACTCGTGTAGCCATGTATGGTCCATTATGGCCCCATAAACTCCCGTCAAAAGTCGAGTTGAACTCTTCCAAGAACCTATACAACAAAGGATGTTCCTTATCAAAGATCAATACCGCGTTATTTACTGAAATCCACACCTTCTTTTTCTCATCTAATTCTTGTACTCCAATCGTGTTCCTTAAGCCCGAAACATCCTTAAGTATTATCATATCGGTGTCAAGATAAACCCCTCCATACTTGTACAAGATTACGAGTCTTAAAAGATTTGACAGATTTTGAGTAATAGGGATCTTCCCTGGGTCCACCTTGCCATCCTTGAGCCTTTCAAGCCAATCATGAGCCGGTGTTCCACTAAACAGAAGGTTAAAATCCGGGGCTATTGGCAGGATTAAGTGACCGCGTTCTACCAATGGTTGAATCATTTCGCGGCCTGGTTTTGAGGCCATTATCCTGGAGACTATGAAGACGCAACCTCCAGGATGTGCCTTAAGAACACTCTCTAAGGAAAACATTTCGCGCTTACCAAAAAACTTGGTGGACGATATCCATGTCATAAAGATATTTACTCTGCATCTTTTTTCACTGATATATTGCTGTAACTTCTCCTCAAATTTTCGCGTCTTTGGTGTTGACTCGAGTACTTTAGAACCTGGAAGCCTTAACTTGATCCACTGCATCCTTTCTTCGGATGAATTACTGTAAGGAGGATTTGAAAGATGATCATATTGGTCAATTGACGCGACAATTGATTCGTCGTCCTCATCTTCCTCTGCCTCTTCCTGTTTTTTCTCTGTCTGAATGACAGCTACAGGTAGAGATGTAGACTGCGTTTGATCATTTTTTTCTGTTTTTGCTTCCTCGACGACTGATGCTTCTGGTGACACTGATGAATTGACAGCATCATCATTCACAGGTGAATCAACACCAGGAGTTGCTGAAATCTTTTCGGTTTTTTTCTCTTCCTGCACTACCTCTGCTGTCAAATTTGGAGACGGAATTTCGACAGCAGGAGATGGTACTGAAATTTGTTCATCTTTCTTATCCTGCACTTCTGCAGTCAGATTTGGAGACGACGGAATCTCAACAACAGTTGGTCGTTGAACCTGATCATCCTTCTCTTCCTGCCCAAATGTCGAATTTGGAGCCGGATTTTCATTAACAGAATCTGGTAATAATTGGGAATCTGACAACAACGGCGCAGTTGCTGGATTTGCTTCTGGGTTGACAACAATCTCCTCCTTCAGTAAACTAACAGAAGGGGTTGTGAAATCGTTGACCGACAACGGAGTTGTTGCTTCTTTCGTTGTTGGACTAAGGTTAACAATCCTAAGGTATTCAAAATGATTAATATATTGTTGAGGGTACTTTAG